TGCACACTTTTTTCTTTATTTTTACATTCAGAATGCTTTAAAAATTCTATTTACAAGACAATTGTTTATAATAAAATTCTATTCAATCGGTAGAGTTATAACGATTGAAAACAATGTTTTTATTTGAGTTTTGGTTTGACCAGTTCGTAAAAAAACAAAACAAAACAAAAAAAACTAATTAAGACATGCGTGTCCGTCAACCTTAAACAATAATCTTTGTCAATTTTATTTTTCAGTCTTCATGATTGTCGATACTTGATCTATCTCTTACTGTTACATCTCCGGGCAACGCCGGGCTCTACTGCTAGTAATAAATATTGTTTAAAAAACGCCTGATAATTATGCACCAACCCAATATTTGCAAGCTTTTGATGTAATATCCTAAAATAAAGAATGTCGCTCTACTTTTGTATTGAGCCCTCTTTCAAATTGAATGTTAAGAATCGTCGGAATTGGACTCTATGCGTTCTCATTTTACATGGATATATATTTTGTCTTTTGTCACTGTTATATGTGTTATATGTAATAGGGTAGGTAGACCCTCCTACCGCTTGGTCAACACTCTTCCCCTTCCCCTGGACATACGCAGAGGCTCACACCTTGTTTCCTGTCTAAGAAGTGGTTCCAGTACTTTTCTCTCTCCCTGGCCTCTGTACTAGTACTGATGTTTTTCTCCCGTGACGTGCACAGTCTGTGGCATTGCCTCTTCATTTTTGAGGGTACACGGTTGACAGTTCACTGGTTGCTGTTTCCGACTGGTAGTTAGGGGCCCTAACTCTTGCGTAGCGTCTTGAGCAGCCGCTCTGATTAACAGTTGTATAATACCGGGGTGTTTGTAGTGCCATGACGCGCATGGAACGGTGTCCCTGCAGTCACCTCCGGTGGGCAACCCTGAGGCCACGTTATGATGCAGGATGTGCCAACTCCTCTCTGCTCATGTTGCGGTCGATAACCATCTGCTTCTCTTACTTCAGGCCTTCTGATCTTCCAACAATTACTCCACATGAAGACTCAAATGAGCCAAAAAAGTAAACCTAAACCAGCCCCTCAAAAATCACCTAAACCCCTCAACATTTCATTCTCCAATATCCGTGGCATTAGAACAAACATCTGCAGTATAGAATCTTTTCTCACTGCAAACTGCCCGGATATACTGGCTCTGTGTGAGACAAACCTTGTCTCGTCTATTCCCTCCTTTGTTCTCTCGATCCCCGGCTACCTTCCTCTCCTCAGGAAAGACTCTCTAACCCACATGCACGGCCTTGGTGTCTATGTCAAGGACCATCTCCCCCTGGCCAGAGAGTTGTCTCTCGAATCGCCAGACCATTCGTACATGTGTCTCCGACTATCTCTCCTCAATGCCGTAAGCTATCTCTTCTTCCTCTATCGCTCTCCTTCCTCTCAAGACTGTGGGATACAAGATAGCATATCTGACAACATAGACAAGGCCCTCTCTCCACCCGTTTGCTCACATATTCGTGTTTGGTGACTTTAACGCCCATCATACCAAGTGGCTCGAGAATGCTACTACTGACCGGGCTGGCATTCAAACACTTAACTTCTCAATTTCTCAATCCCTCACGCAGATAGTTGACTTCCCCACGCGTTTTGCCCTCAACCTGGCAGGTAAGGCCTCTCTTCTCGATCTGTGTTTTACCTCCATCCCCGAATCTTGTAGCGCCACACAGCTCTGCCCGCTTGGTAACTTCGATCACGCCGTGGTATCTGTCAACATTTCCTTCAACTCCACACCCCGCAAAGAACCTCCCATCACTAGAACCTCGTTCTACTATCAACGAGCGGATTGGGACTCGTTCCGTGACTTCCTCCGCGATGTCCCCTGGGATGTTGTCTTTACACTCCCTGTCCAAGAATGTGCTTTTGAGGTCTCATCCTGGGTTAAATCTGGAATCGACGCTTTCATCCCCTCTAAGAAATTTAAGGTCAAGTCGCACTCCTCCCTTTGGTTCTCCGCTGCTTGCTCAGCCGCCATTGCCCATAGGAATCACTTCTTTCACATATTTCGTAGCGACATGTCGGACTGCAATAGACGTATCTTTGCCTCCGCCCGTAACGAGTGTAAGCGTGTCCTCAACGAAGCTAAGTCAATATTTGCTGCTCGGATGAAGGAACGTATTGCATCTCGCAAATTTGGACCCAAAGATTATTGGCGGGTCTGCAAGAGTGTCCTGAACAATAGAAAACCCTCCATACCTCCTTTATTCAACCAGTTCGATGTCTTGACCTCCTCTACCGACAAGGCTGAATGCTTTGCTCGAAAATTCTCATTTAATTCAACGCTCGACTCCAACGGTGTACCCATACCAGACTTCCCTCCAAGAATTGAGGTCCTATTGAGCGGCTTATACATAACCCCATCATTGGTACTGGGCATTATCTCCAACTTAGACCCCCACAAGGCTAGTGGTGGAGATGGCATACCAGCCATTGTCTTGAAGAAATGCGCGCCTGAGATAGCGCCCGCCCTCTCTAAACTGTATAATTACTGCCTCAAGAATCCTGTTTTCCTGTCTGCTGGATGTCCTCATCCATTGTTCCTGTGTTTAAGAACTCTGGAGACCCCTTCTGACCCCTCTAATTACCGTCTTATTAGTCTCCTACCCATCCTCGGCAAAGTCTTCGAAGCCCTAATCAATGTCGAAGTGGTTAATCACCTTACATCCCATAATCTGCTCTCAGACAAGCAATATGGTTTCCGCTACGCCCGATCTACAGCTGATGTGCTTACGGCCATCACTGAAACCGTCTACCAAGCCCTTCAAAATAACGGTGAGGCTCGTGCCGTGGCCCTAGACATCCCCAAAACATTCGATAGGGTTTGGCACGTCGGCCTTCTTCGTAAGCTCCAAGGTTATGGTATTACTGGTCGACTGTTGGATCTAATACAATCATTCCTGTAAACCGAGAATTGAAGGTCGTTCTCAACGGATTCTCCTCCAGTTCCTATCCCACGAACGCATGTGTTCCCCAAGGCTCTATCCTTGGCCCCACTCTTTTTCTTTATTTTCATCAGTGACCTTCCTGACGCCATAGATTCCCAAGTTGTCATCTACGCGGACGACACTACAATTTACTCCTGCCTCAAAAACAAATCTAGTGTCGCTGACAAAACTAACCTGGCCGTGCGTTTTGAAATGGACCTCCAATCGGTTGTTAACTGGGGCAAGAATTGGCTGGTCAACTTTAACGCCTCAAAAACTAAATTACTCTCCATTAACCACCATAGAGATCCTTCCCTGCCCCCCCATTAAAATGTCTGATAGTCAACTTCCTGAGAGCAACTCCCTGCGTCTGCTCGGTCTCACGCTGACTGCTGACCTGAGATGGAACAAATACATTGATTCAATTGCTTCTTCCACCGCGAGGAAATTTGGCTCTCTGTGCCGCGCCAGGAAATTCTTCTCCCCGGAATCGATACTTCAAATATACAAAACAACCATTCGCCCTTGCATGGAATATTGCTGCCATATATGGTCTGGTGCACTTTCTGCTTACCTCGGAGTTCTTGACAAGATCCAGAGACGTATATGTAATCTAATTGACCCTGATCTGGCGTCTCGTCTGCAGTCACTTTCTCACAGACGCGCCGTCGCCTCTCTTTGCCTTTTCTACAAATACTTTCATGGTAATTGCTCCGATGAGCTGCTTTCACTGGTTCCCAGACTCCATGAATTCAAGCGCCCTACGAGGCTGGCATCGCGCTCCCACCCTTACACTATAGAAATTTTTAAATGTAGCCTTCTACTCCAATAGCTTCATACCTCACACATCTCGCCTGTGGAACACCCTTCCCAATTACTGTTTCCCTGAAAGCTATAATCTCCAACTATTCAAATGTAATGTCAATCAACACCTCCAGTTACCTTGATCTACCCACTATCCTTCTCCTCATCCTTTCTCCTATCCTCCTCTCCGCTTCAAATTTTTCTGCAACCCCTGCATCCTAGTGGCTTCACGCCTTGCTTGGGGCGTAATGCTTAAAAAAAAAATAAAAAATAAAAATATATATATATTTCTTCAGTTAAATTTGTGTGTGTGAAATTGTATAAAACATTTTTCGATTAAAGGGTTTTACCAATCCCCATTGAAGACATCATCCCACGCACGTTTTTTTTTGGGAATCACACAGAAACAGGAACTTTTTTTACAATGATGTTCATTCTGTACAAGACCCAATACAGTTTTGGGTAGAAGGCTGTTATAAAAGGCACCAATAGTCTGAACAAGGCCAGTACAGGGAAACCCTCGGACCACCGATGACTTGAGACTTCGTACTCTTAAACCAGAAACAAGGAAATAAACCTCGATTTCTGTTCAAAAGACTTGGGATTACCAGTAACTTTTATACTCATCATTGCAAACATTATGGAAGATTTTCTAAATAGGCGATTGAATAGTAATAGCTAAACATGAGCATCACCCATGTTCGATAATAAATAATTAGCTAATTAAGTCAGAAAATTAAAAATCTTGAATATGAAGTGACGATGATGGCGGACATTTTTGGCACAAAATTCTAAATTTTCATCGGTCGGTGTCACCGTAATCTGATTGTGTTGTTCACTGTCAAGTAACATCCTAAAGAATTAATAACGTTGCCAAGCAAATCCATGAATAAGCTGGCATTTTGCTTATGATATTTTTAGTTTTCCAGGAATGATTTCATTATGCTTTCAAGAGCCAATTTCATTCTTGCACGATCAATCCTCTTTTTCACGAAAATATGGAATTTGATCTATCTATCATCAACATATAACAATATATATATATATATATATATATATATCAAATATAATGACGTATTTGTGTGCGTAAAAAAATCAAAAATAAAACGAATATAACGATAAAATGCTGACTATGAATAAAAGCAAAAAAAAAAAAAAAAAAAAAAACAAATTCTTTTACCAAAGCGTTTTGTCCTCTTATGGACCAGCAATAAATAAAATAATTTCATTTTATGAACTCTCAAAATATTTAAAATGGTAATTGTGACCTTTCAAGGTAAATATGAGTAAGGTGCCAAAATGAAAACAAAGTTGCCTAAAAAAACGGAAGGAATAGATATTGACTTTTTAAACAGCCTTATTTGCTTTATATATAAAATTTTAATTTAATTTTTTCTTAATATAATTATTATTCATTATTTTATTTTAATTTGATAATTATTTATGAACACAAAAGGATTTTATGTGTGTGTGTGTGTGTGTGTGTTGTGTTCTATACAGAAATAAGTTGGTGCAAATTTGATCTAATTAATATCTCTTAATAAAAAAAGAAATAACGACTTTGAAAATTTCTTTCAGTCCTCATTGAATTTTGCCAAAATGTAAACTTGCGGCTCTGAATTGTAATAAATGAAGCAAGTGTGAGAAACTGAAATAGATATATGTCATTTTGTGACTTTGATTTTTAATGATACCAAAACATGAATTTCTGAAATCGTCTTATGTTGAATGATGTCAAATGAGCTCCCAACGGGAAAGGATGCAAATTCAAATTTGGGCGGAAGCTAATTTTTTTTTAATTTTACAATTCATTTTGAGCAATGTAAGTAAATTTCGAAGTGTAATCTAATTCAGTGTCACTTGGAGACAAATAAATGTATCAGCTGTAAATAAGATTAACTGTTTTTCTGGATTTGAAAAACTCATTGTAACAGAATGAAAAATATGTTTGGTATGGCAGGACGATGAACCAAATTCCTATGGATATCTATATATCTAGCTGTCTATCTAGCTTGTCTGTTCATATCTATCTATCTATCTATCTATCTATCTATCTATCTATCTATGTTTGTTCATATCTATTTATCTATGTTTGTTCTTATCTACCTATCTATCAATCTATGTATCAATCTATCTATCCATCAATCAATCTATGTTTGTTCTTATATATCTATGTTTGTTCTTATCTATCTACCTATCAATCTATGTGTGTTCTTATCTATTTACTGGATATTTCTTCGATCTATCTATCTATCTATCTATCTAAAAAATGTGTGTTCTTATCTATTTATCTATAAAAAAATCTATCTATCTATCTATCTATCTATTTTTGTTCTTATCGAGAAATTTATCTATATTTGTTCTTATCTATCTATGTTTGTTCTTATCTATCTATCTATCTATCTAATAACTAACTGTCTCTCTACCCATTTAGATTTATGTCTGTATGCATATATGTATATGTGCATGCGTGCGCCTGTATATATTTTATGGTTTTAAACTTTATTTTTAATACGCTTATTAGAGTAAACGCTCCATTTATTTTGAACAGTATTTTCATTTCGTTTCGTGCCCAGAACATTCGAGAAATCTTATTAAAGAAAAATTCGCCCGAACAAATTATACAGTTAGTCTCGTTGACCATGCAACAAAAACAAACATTTATATATTTATATATATATATATATATATATATATATATATATATATATATATATATATATTCAACCTGATTTGAAAATGATATCGTTATTTGAATAACAAAACTAAAAATTCAAAATTAGTTTATCATTTTACCGGTAAATTTGCCAAAGTTCATATTTATTTGAAAAATTTAATAATAAATTTGATATACTGAAGTTGTCAATATTATTTAGTCAAACTTATTTGAAATAGTTATATATACTGAAGAAACACTAATCTTAAATGATATGAACCTGCAGCGGATTCTGACATCGAAACATACAAGGATTACGATCCAAGGAATTGGTTCCATCAAGCGCAAGAACGATGGAATTCAACAAAAACAGTTGCATAAATATCCACAGAAAAATCCTTGAAAACGAATGTCGCAATTATAATAAATATGAATCTTGGTAATTTACCGATAACATCAAAGAAATCGATTTCAGGAATTATATAGGGATATAAATATTTATAGGAAAATGCTCCACGAAAGAAGTAGAGATTGCATTCAATTTTACAGTTCTTTGCATTTTCAAATAACTTTAAAAAACTAGTGGGCATAACAGCAAAACAATGTGAGATGTTAATAGTGTAAGTTAGATTTGCTTTGCTGAATGACTTTTTGTGGCTTAATGGTTAAACAGTGGTATCCCTGATTAAAAATGAATAAAATTTCGATTCCTGTTGCGAGGCACATTTTTCTTGATAAGGACTTTCAGTATCTAGTCCGTTAAATTTTAATTTCACTGTTAAAACAAAACAATTCTTTTGAAAAATCAAAAACATTTATGTCTCCTCAAAATTTTAGTAATACTTTCTTCTATAAATACCCTATATCTATATATATATATATATATATATATATATATATATATATATATATATATATATATATTTATATAATATTTTATTATAATAGATTATAATAAAAATTTTACAAACATATACAAAAGCCTTCGTTGTTTCAATAAAAATATTTATACTTCCTCATATATATATAAATAATATATATAAAATATATGAACTGTGAATTGTTACTTCATCTGTTCTTTTTCAATTTATATATATATATATATATATATATATATATATTATATATATATATATATATAATTTTAAGTCTAATTTTGGACAAAATTTTTAGGATTGAGTTTCAGATTCTAATCATAGTAATTTTGTGTCGTAATGGTTTCATATTTTTTTGAAAAAAAGTTAACATTTTATGGTCTTCTTTTATCGAGCACTGTTTTTTTTTTTTTAAATAAAAACATAAATCTAAAGAAATTTGGATCATTAATCTTTTCATTTTTATTACAAATACAGGTACACATCACACACACACAAATATATATATACATATATATATATATATATTTTTATGAATACATATTATATATATATATATATATATATATATATATATATATATATATATATTTATATATTTTTTTAAATGGACAAAGTCAAATTGGGAATTTTTTCTATATGGCAATTTCGGACATTTTTTTGTAAAGTTTATTTAATACTGTTTATTATAAAAATAGTTCATTTAAATAAATACTTGTTATCTAAAAAAAGAACGTTAAACATAAAAATGATACTTTAATATATATATATATATATATATATATATATATATATATATATATATATATATATATATATATATATATATAGGGTGTCCCAAAATAATGTATACACTCTTTAAATATTAATAGTTAATAATACATTACCGTGATGTGACAACTTATATGGATGAATATATGCAAAACAGATAAATTAGAAGAAGAGGGACAGTTGTATACCCACCTAGATCACCAGATTTGACACTCTTGGATTTCTTTGTGGGTTTTCTAAAAGGTGTCGAAAAAAGATTTACAGCAGGAAACCTGAAACAATTGCTGAAATGAGAGTAGCAATTGAAAAGAATGTGCTCAAATATCAGAAGAAATTATACTGGACGTTTGTAGGTCTATTTCTTCTAAATATGAAAATTGTATTGAATAGAACGGCAACCAGTTTGAGGACTTGATGTGAACTCATCATTATATGAACATTCTGCCATTGCCCCAAGTAGCTTTTATCTTATTAAAGTTATTTTTTTTTTCTTTTTTTTTGTATATTTTACTCTCAAATTCTTTAAATGTTTATTCTTTCTTTTGTATTAATCTTATTTACAAGTCAAAATACATAAATTGAATAATGATTCAATAATGATTCAATATATATGTTTTGTATACATTATATTTTGGCCAAAACCCAAAACATCCTGTATATATGTCTTGGTGTTAAAATTGGACAATGGATTTACAAATAATCGCAACCACTCATAAATATATATAGATTTGAGCCAAAACCAGACAAAACATGGCTTTTTATTAAATTTTTTAAATGAAAAATTTTATCGTTGAAGCATATATATAAATATATATTTTGACTATATTTTGGCTGTTTGTTTTTTTGGTGTTGAAAACTCATTGGACACTATTTAATGTTATTTAGACATTAGGGCTCAATGTAGTTTTCACATAATCACTTTTACTCATAAATATAGCAAACCTCATAAAACTATACCTTTTGATCATATATATATATATATATATATATATATATATATATATGGAATAGTTGTATATTTAGGCATGGTAATCCTTCATTTATGCATGGTTCTGTCTTTTTATTAATTTTTTTTAAATTAAAAGCTCTCTGGATATTTACCTAGGTATATATATCTATCATTTTTAATAAAATATGCATGCATATATATATATATATATATATATATATATATATATATATATATATATATATATATAATATAATATAATATAAATATATATAAATACTAATATTTTATGGTTATAATTTATTACACTGGAACACTAATAATCACGTGGTCGAAATCATCAAACCTACAAATACATAAATATATATATATATATATATATATATATATATATATATATATATATATATATATATATTATTTTATATGGGCAGTACTTATTGGAAAATGCTCAATATCAGTGATAGAGCTAACATATTCCGTTGTATGAGTATGAGTTTGTGACCTTGGGTTTCACGCTTTTGCGTTCATCAGACAAACTAATTTATTTATAAAAAAATAAAATGCGTACACCTGTATGTATGTATGTATGTATGTATGTATGTAGTGGGAGTGTCATCCCAAACAGACACAGAGGATTTCCCCCTTTCACCTCAAACATAATCAAATGACAAACAAGCATAAATATATTCAATTTTAAAAAAATAAACCAGTTTGTCTTATGTTTGCAAAAGCGTGAAACCTAGACTCACAAACTCATATCCATACAACTGAATATATATATATATATATATATATATATATATATATATATAAAAACCATAATAAAAATCATTAATACCTATCAAAATATGTAAAGGACTTAAAAAAATTCTATGTATTTTAAGGTCATCAGATTTTTGTCTAAAAATGCACAATAGTCGATAAATTAAAAGAAAACAATCGATTTAACTTTTGACCTTGTCTTTCGTTAAATCCATTGAACATTTATCAATTTAGTAACTGTAAATAAATATATATATATATATATATATATATATATATATATATATTGATATATTGATATAATGTAAAATATATACGTATATTTTCATAATATATAACATTTACACTATTAACATTGTTCAGCTGTTGTGCACATCTTTATTGTCATATTCACGACATTTTCGGCCGTTTTATACTCAGGCCTCCTGCAGGTGATATACGCTGGAATTTCGAACCGGACCCTTTGATTTGACCCAAAGAGTTGTGTGCTCAATACCTGGCCACAGCAGAAGCAAACAAAAACATTGTGAGTTGCTAAAGGGAAATATAGTAAACTGCGATATCAGGAAAAGGCATGTCACGTGGAACTAGAATAATCTACCACGGCGGATGAAATAAACGATTCGGTTCGAAATTCCAATGTATATTCCCTGATGAAGACCGGGGCGTACAACGGCCGAAACGTTGTGAATATGACAATGAAGATGACGTCAACAGTCCGAACAATGTAAATAGTTACAATACCTCATCATAGAAATATAGAAAAATATATAATATGTTTTTGATATTATGCCAGTGCCAGTACAAACCTGCTTAAATATATTGTCATTTTTGACAGCATGAGTAAACCATTAATAATATTAAAACAGAAATCCTCTCTCAAATACACGGCCATCCCCGTCTGAAAGCTGCTTCTCTGCAAAAGGATTTGACAAACATTCTGTGTCTAAAGACTTAGAAATATAAATTATAAGAATACATAATTTAAATACAACCAATATTCTAGTAGTAATATGAGCACTAGGAACCATTAAAAAGAATAGTGACGCAGACATTAAGTGAATCATAAGAAGCTCATCTATGTCTCAGATATAATGGATTGTCCCCCGGAGTAGCACTCACCGTCTTTAAAATCTTTTTCACTGTAATAAGCACCTTATCGTTCTAAAAAAATAACTTTTACTTCAGATCTCAGGTAAAAAAAAAAAAAACAATGTTGGTTACGGATTGTATCAAACAGCAAATCAAGAAAACTAGAAATAATAATAACAACAAAAAATTTTCTATGAAACTTTACCATATACACGGACGGAACAATCAAAGCTAATCACCCAGACTTTGTAATCAAAGACCACAAAAAGCAGAAAGCGCTTTCTTATTGACATGGCAATCCCTGCAGACTGTAATGTATCTTTGAAGATCTTTAAAAAAAAACTACCAAAATACAATGATCTTGAAATAATGGAAATCTCAAAAATATGGCTCATGAGGACATCAATAATTCCAGTTACTGTTGGAGGCCTCGAATTGATTGGAAAAAGGTACAATAGACTCACTGAAGGGTTTCCTAGTAGCCCCTGACTCAAAGAAATACAAAAATTGTACTCAGAAGTACTGCTCACAAATTACGAAAAGCTTTATCTATATAACATGTGTGTGATCTTAGGGTTTCTTGTTTTGTTGTTGTTGTTGTTGTATTTACAAAAATGAACAGTGTAAAATGCCATGAAGACATTTCTGACCTTAGGTCCCTGGTTGGAAGCTGGAAGGAAATGTGTATATAACAGAAATCAAAGGAAATAATAATAATAATGAGAAGAAGAAGAAGAAGAAGAAGGAAGAAATAGAAAGAAGAAAATGTGGCATATGGAAACATCAACAATCCCTGTTGTAGTTTGAAGGACTGGTTGGAAAAGATTGCTAGACTAATTGAAGGGATTCCTGGAAGTCCATGCCTCAAGGAGATACAAAAAATTGTTCTGATCAACAACCACACTTTTACGAAGGGCTTTATCTATGTCATTTTTTTATTTTTTATTTTTTTGTCATTTGTCATGCTGCCATTTCTAACCTTGAGGTCCCTAGGGGCGGGACCCGGAAAAAAATGTGTAAACGCCAGAAACTGGTTAATAAATAATGTGCATGGGAACATCAACAATCCCTGTTGTAGTTGGAGCCCTAGGATTGGTTGGAAAAGATTGCAGTAGACTAATTGAAGGGATTCCTGGAAGTCCATGCCTCAAAGAAATACAAAAAATTGTTCTCACAAATACAGACTACACTTCACGAAGGGCTTTATCTATGTAAAATATGTGTGATTTTTTTCCCCAAAACTGCTCAGTAAAAAATGTCATGATGCCATTTCTGACCTTATGTCTTTGGTTGGGGCCCGAAAAGAAATGAGTATAGATCAGAAATCAAAGGAAATAAAATGTTAATAATAATCGGAATTGTCTATTTTGAACAGTCCTGAAACGGTCTGTGAAGTGACAGAAAGAATTAACAAACCAAAGAATTTAGCATTATTTATATTATTCGGACTTTTATCCGAATCTTTGTCGCCATATTTATTACAACGTTTCGGCCGTTGTACGCTCCGGCCTTCTTCAGGTGGTTGAAATGTCGAACTGAACCCTTTATTTCGCTCACTGGGGTAGACTGTTCTAGTTCCACGTGCCATGTTTTTAATGGATGTCAATTATCAGTTATTTCCTGCTTAATTCCCTCTCCAAGTTCTCCACCGCCTTAACTAGGTATTGAACTCACATTATTTGGGTCCTGTCACTGGATCTAACTAACGCCTTTATCCATTGTGCCATGTGTCCTTGAGGGCATCTGGGTATGAATTTCTGCATTCAGTACATAATTTTTTTAAAGTGATCATATTAGTAAAAAAAATGTGTACTGAAGACATTAGGTTTATAATAACCAGAAATTCATACACAGATGGATAAAGGTGTTACTTAGATCCAGTGACAGAACCCAAATAAGGAGTTCAATACCTAGTTAAGGCGGTGGAGAACTTGGAGAGGGAATTAAGCAGGAAATAACTGATAACTGACATCCATTAAAAACATGGCACGTGGAACTAGAACAGTCTACCCCAGTGAGCGAAATAAAGGGTTCAGTTCGATATTCCAACCACCTGAATCGCCATGCGTGAAAAAGTGTTCAAATCAGATATGACTGAGTGTGAAAGGTAAATTACTAAGAACTGCGCAAATTATTAGGATTTGATATGAAAATAATAACTGACGTTATACGTAGAAAATGTCTTAGAGAATAAAACACACAAACTTCCCTGGATCTTTAAAATTAATCCATATCAGCTTGGTGTCAGTTTAAACTAACACTATACTGTGGCCATTTTGATTGAAGTTCGAATTTGATCTCAGATGAAAACTTTTAAATACTTCAATATATCTCAATGAAATTTCCCCTTCTCTAAATTATAGCTTGCTAGTTTTAACACGTGAAAATTCCATTTTTTTCCGATTTGAAATATCTGATGAATCTTAATTCTTCAGTTAATAATTGAGTAAGCGCATGGCGAGTTCTACGACAATAAAATATCTGTAGAAATTCTCCTATCGCATCGTTAAAGATTTGAGCTTAACGACTTTAAAAAAATATTGCAACAATCATAAATATGAATGCTTATCGTTATTTTATGACGTGAATACAATGAAAACATTTAAAATTGACAATATTTCATTTTACTGAAACAGCCATTAAACACGTCCATCTTCCTGGCTTTCTTTCCTTTTCTCACTGAAACAAGTAGTGTCTTTTCCCTTTTTCCATGCCATCAAAACTGGATAGTCCATTATTTGAGAGGTATCGGCAGAGCGTAAGGGTTGTACGAACTAATGAAGGGAGGTACAAGAACAACTATAATAGGATATTTGTAATTTAGACATATGGAAAAAGAAGACATCTCTTTCAACTGACGCCAGATAGACACGTTTTAAACTGAGATCTTTTTCCATATAGTGTAATCATTTTACTTCCGTAATTTCTTGATAACAGAGGAAAATTTGGAATATTTTCAACATATTTCAATGAATATTTCGCGATCCAAATTATATTTTATAATTTTAGTTTAGAAATATAAAAATGGGGTATTCTGGGTATGACAATGAACTACCTCCGGAAGCAAGGCCTCTGATGGGGAGGTTTGATGGAACCATCTCTTAATTATAGTTGTTTCCAGTTCCACTCTGACCCGCGGTGGTAGCACCTGTTAAGGTCACATCTATGAACAAATAGTTAACACCCAAACTTGGGACAGAACACTATGAAAGTATAAAAAATAGATTTTTATAGTAAAAATACCAGCAATCCATTTAAAAAAATATTACCAGCAATGTATTTGACTCTCGGCAAAAAAACCTCTTTACAAAAACATGACAATGAAAGGTGATCTAAAAACTGATATCTTACAAAGAATACATATTCTATTTATACGAACCTATCCTAAAATCTTTCCGGTATTAAATAACCCATTGAGGTTGATATGCCATAACACAAAATAAACCAAACCGAGTTAAAATAAAAATGGGAGACATTTTAATCTGACGCCAGGATAATACAGCTTAAATCGACGCCTTTCTTTTTTTTTCCACCTTCTTTTTTAATAAAATTTGTAATTTCTTTTATTTCAGATGAACATATGGAAATTTTCCGATATATTTTAGTGAAATCTTCACCTCCAGAAATTGTAATTTATCAAAATAAACTAACGCGAGAAGCATTAACTTTAACGCCGATAACTCTATCCAATCTATAATTTATTCATAGCGAAGAGAATAAAATTACTCAAATAGTCGATGTTATTATAACATGAAACATAATTTTAAAGAAGGTAAAATGTTGGGAAACTAGTCAGGCTTTGCCAGAGAACTGAAACATTTGAGGAACATCTATACAACAGTAGTGTTCATGATTAGTGGAGAGACTTATAAACAAGAACTGGAAATCAGTTTAACAATCGAAACCATCCAAATGACAACATTATTAAAAAACAGAAACAAAAAAAAAAAAAACAGTTAGAATACCAAGGAGGGCGTTGAGCTATTGATAACTCTTGTTGTCACTTGATCTCTATAAAACCCAATCAGCTACTGGTGCGAAAGCGCAACGCAGGCAAAATACTAAAATACTGATGTAATCAATTCCGTAGGGCTTCATGTTTGCTTTAATAATATCTGAATTGTCAGTCTACATTTTTACATTGGTTTATCCGAAAATAGAATCAAATAATAATTCATTCTCTAAAAAAAAAAAAACAATATACATATGGTCACTTCCTGAAATTTATGCGTGGTCATATTCAGATCAGTTATTGTTCCTTACAACCGGAAGTTTAAAAAAGGATGGGTCATATCTCATTAGAAAATTCGATCTTTGTCCAAACAATCTTCGATTCATGATGTTTGAATTAAAAATAAGTCCGGTTTTTGTTAAACACTAGTACATTTAATGGTTATTCACTAGTTGTACTGTCATAATCTGTCGATGTCGATGACAGTACAGTCATTGGTAGGGATGTTTAAACGGGATTGTTTCAATGTTTTGGTCGAACCAATCCTACCACGAGGTATCTATTTATCTATCTATCTATCAAACTCTGTTCGGCTCTCTCTTTCTCTCTCTCTCTCTCTCTCTCTCTCTCTCTCTCTCTCTCTCTCTATCTATCTATATATCTCTCTCTCTCCGTCTATCTGTCTATCTATCACAGTTTGTTCATCTCTCTGTCTCTCAAACATTCCGTCTATCTAGCTGTTACAGTCTGTTCATCTGTCTCTCTCTCTCTCTCTCTATATATATATATATATATATATATATATATATATATATATTCATGAATTATTCATACAAAAAACAAATACAAAGGTTAATGATTAATTGGCGAGAAATCCATCGTCGTGAACAATTCAAATAATATACAAAAACCCCGACCTGTTTATGAATGAAAAGATCCTTGTTTCTATAAATTTCTGTTGCATGAGTTCTTATTATTTTTACAAGCTTTCGTCTGTTCATACAGACATCCTCAGGTATGGAATAGATTTTGTTTTTGTTTTTTCTCTCAGTAATAAGAGGACAACGAAAATATATGTACTGTTGTAATCCGAAAAATGCTATTAGAAATGAGTTATTGTTTTTGGAGCGTGCTGTCGCAACGCTGAGTTTGAATTTAAATTTTACAAATTTATAGAAACAAGGATCTTTTCTTGTATATTATTTGAATTGTTCGCGACGATGGATTTCTCGCCAATTAAATCATTAACCTTTGTATTTGTTTTTTGTATGAATAATTCATGAATTTGTAAATTAATTGCACCTTTATTGAAATATATATAGATATATATATATATATATATATATATATATATATATATATCTTTCTATGTATCTATCTATCTATCTATGTCTGTTAATTTCTATCTATCTATCTATCTATCTATCTATATGTATGTGTGTATGTAAGCATATATATATATTTATTTATATTTATATTTATCGATCTGTTCCTTTCTACCAGTTCAAATCAATCTATCTATCTATCTATCTATCTATCTATCTATCTATCTATCTATCTATCTATGTTCCTTTCTATATATCTACGTGTTTCAAATCTTTATTTCTATTCTATACTATTCTATATCAATCTGTTTCTGTCCATCAGCTTGCTTGACAGTGCCTAGATAAACTCCTTGATGTGAAATCTTCATGTTCAAGGCAAACCACCCTCTCTTGGATGACTTATGCAACATACACTCTCTTTTACTCAGTACTTTTTTTACTTGTAAAATCTACTCGAAGTTTACAATATATCTGTGAAGAATAGTTACATCATTGTGATCAAGTTATGTTACAAATACTCATCAAGATAATTTATGTTTTTAAATACAGAAAAATATTAAACAATTTTTAAGTAAAATATGAAATAAGTTATTTTTCACTGTATGATACGCGATAAAAAAAAGCAAAAATGAGGGATGTCTTATCTTTGATTTGATTTCGTCTTTTCTAATCAAATACGTATTATCCTGACAGAGAAGATTACGGTACTAAAAATGTGTCTGTTGTTTTTTGCGCGCCTCGTCAAGAGCCAATCAGGATTTAGCTACAGAATATCCATCCTAATCTTTTTTCTCGGATCAGTGGGGATCTACTTATAAACAGCTGACCACTTTATAATCAGCCGATGGCGAAAGTCCATCGGCGCCTCATAGACGTATCTCAACATTACTATCCTTTCAATGACGGGGACAAACAATCCACAGGGAGGCTGGCCGATATTTATTAAATTCATCCAGCAGTTCCTTCAACGAATCCTTCATCAGATACTGACCCTTGCCTCAAGCATAGGATTCGGATTTAAAAGTTACTGTTTAAACTGTAAGATCTAGCAGTACTTCTCCATATTCCCTTATTTTGTACGTTTCTAATTAGATTAATCCTTTGTCACTATCGTGAAACATTTTGTTATATACACACGGTGTCTCCCAAAAATTGACATCGTATTTTAGTCTAGTAGCATAGCCAATTCTCGCTCAAATGATCTCAAATTTTAACAAAATGAGTAAAGACTAAGTTGACTGTGCGGACATCTCAGTAAGAATCTACCAGGAAGTTGGATCGGGCATGCCAGTGATAACGGTTACCACGTTCAGCTGACTTGATATCTTGTGATTTTTCTGTGGGAAAAGACAGATCTTTATGCCTTTTTCCTACAATCCTAAAGGAATTGAAGCAAAGAATCACTGAGGTACTGGAGACTGTTACGAAAAACATGCTACAGCGTATTTGGCAGAAGCTGGACTACCAACTTGACGTGTGTTTTGTAACAGGTGGTTCGCATACTGAACATTTATAAAGCTTTGTGAATTCGGTTATAAAATCTACATCCCTTTAAATATCTCATTCGAATTTTGAAAAATAATTCTTTTATTGTTCAACATGAAGCCTATTTAATTTCGTTTGCATGAGATATGTAGTTACTCAGATATTCACATTTTAAATGATGTCAATTTGGGGGGGGGCATCTTTTATTTACTTCTTTATGATTCATGTTTAGTCAGATATACCGAAGTCAAGATGATGATAAAAAAATCGACTCCTTAATTCGAAAGAAAATATATTAGTTCAACAGGTGCGTAGCTTGTATATTTGCAGAACTTCAGATTTCTCGATATTTTTTCTTAAAAAAAGACGGCAAAATTACCAGGGATCATAAAATCTACTGGTTGTTTGTTTATTTGAAGTAACTATGCCACGAATGATGTTTTAGGAAATTTTTCTCAGTTTAATTCATTTTTTTAGGATCTGTCGGGCAATTAGAGGATGAACCAGAAGTTTATGCATTTTATATGAAAATGCACTTGTTCACAGTTAAAGGCTTTTAATCATATGCTATTATTTAAACCATAATGCTAAAAATGATCTTCTGATGTTATCCTTTATTTATTAAGCTAATTAATCGATATCTCTTCACATAATTTTCTTTTCCTGTATTTGTAATGTTTTTTGATGCGCGTTCAATGTTTATATTAAACATATTTGTTGATGCTATTACACAAAGAAAATGCATGACGAATATTTTAGTTGGTGTCATTGATGATCATTAAACTGACCATTTTTGAGAGATGCATCACGAAATTTTTAAAGAATTTTAATTTTCTCTCTCAGCAATAATTTATTAGCCATGCTCTATATATGAATAAAATTTTATCTAAACATGACTAATTACGTTCATTTTTTTACGTTTAACATATCTGGTTAATATAATCTTTTTGAAAATATTTTTAACAAAAATATATTTTTTTTTTTTTGAGCATTTCACCCCAAGCAAGGCAGGAAGCCACTAGGATGCAAGGGGTTACAGAAAATTTAGAGCAAGATCAGATAGGAGTGATAGAAGAAAGGATGAGGGTAGTGGATAGATCAAGGCAACTGGAGATGTCGATTGACATTACACTTGAATAGCTGGAGATTATAGCTCTCAGGGAAACAGGAATAGGGAAGGGAGTTCCACAGGCGAGAGGTGCGAGACATGAAACTATTGGAGTAGAAGAGGCGGCTACATTTAGGAGTTTCGACAGTGAAGGGGTGAGAGCGGGATGCCAGCCTCGTAGGGCGCTGGAACTCATGAAGTCTGGGAACCAGCGAATGCAGCTCCTCGGAGCAATTTCCATGAAAGTATTTGTAGAACAGACAGAGGGAGGCGACAGCGCGTCTGTGAGAAAGTGACTGTAGACGAGACGCCAGGGCAGGGCCAACCACATTGCATATCCGCCTCTGGAGCCTATTAATAACCCCGAGGCAAACAGAAGGGACACCAGACCATATATGGCAGCAATACTCCATGCAAGGGCGAATTGTGGATTTGTATATCTGGAGGATCGACTCCGGGGAGAAAAACTTCCTAGCGCGGCTCAGGGAGCCAACTTTCCTTGCAGTGGACGAGGCAATTGACTCGATGTATTTATTCCATCTCAGGTCAGCAGTCAACGTGAGACCGAGAAGCCGCAGAGAGTTGCTCTCGAGAAGTTGAGCGTCAGACATTCTAATGGAGGGAAGGGAAGGCTCTCTGTGGTGATTAATAGAGAGCAGTTTTGTCTTAGAAGCGTTGAAGTTGACCAGCCAGTTCATGCCCCAGTTCACAATCGATTGGAGGTTCTTTTTCGAGACGCACGGCCAGGTGAGTTTTGTCAGCGAGACTAGATTTGTTTGTGAGGCAGGAATAAATTGTGGTGTCATCCGCGTAGATGCCAACTTGGGAAGTTATGGCGTCAGGAAGGTCATTTATGTAGATAAGGAATAGAGTGGGGCCTAGGATGGAGCCTTGAGGAATACCTGCGTTCCTGGGATAGGAACTGGAGGAGAATCCGTTGAGAACGACCTTCAATTCACGGTTTGACAGGAATGATTGCATTAGGTTACATAATCGACCCGTAATGCCATAACCCTGGAGCTTGCGAAGAAGGCCGGCATGCCAAACCCTATCAAATGCTTTGGAGATGTCTAGTGCCACGGCTCGGGCTTCCCCGTTATTTTGGAGAGCTCGGTAGACTGTTTCAGTGATGGCTGTAAGCACATCGGCTGTAGATCGGGCAAAGCGGAAACCATATTGCTTGTCTGAGAGCAGATTATGGGATGTGAGGTGGTTAACCACCCCGGTATTGATTAGGGCTTCGAAGACTTTGCCGAAGAGGGGAAGGAGACTGATAGGACGGTAGTTGGAAGGGTCAGAGGGGGTCGCCGGAGTTCTTGATGCATATTCGTTTTCAGTATTTTTTTCTCTGCTCAAAAGCATTTTCGTAAGGGTTTAACCCAGTTTTTGAGCTAATATTTGGCTGAACTGCAATGTAATTGCATTCAAATTATTTGACCATTACAATTTTCTTTTTTTTAACCTTTTCTTGATTTGAATAATATTTTATTTTTGAATAATAATTTTTTTGCCCGGCAGATCCTCAAAAATGAATTGAGAAAAATCCTTGGAAAAGTACTGGAGATTTATTGCTCGAAAATGCAGCAATTGTGGCTCTTTGGAAAAGTCTTCTTTAAAAATGAAAGATAACCAAAATATTCTGAAGATGGCTTCAAAAGAATAGTTTGTTCGTCCAACCTCTACGCCATTGTTTCTCAACCGTTTTCTACTTGAGAACGTAGTTGTAGAATAACTAAAACTAACGGTGCACTTTAAATTTTAATAAGGAAAAATTTATGAAATTTGAATATAGGAAAATAATAAAGAAATGTCCTGAAGT